TCTTTAAAGACTTGAATGCTAGCCAAAGATAGTCGTTTCCACCCATGCAGCACCACGGCAAAACGTTTGATCTCGGGCGGGCTCGAACCGCCGGCCTTCCGTGTGTTAGACAGATGTGATAACCACTACACCACGAGATCCGCGTCCTGAGACTTGTGGGCGAACCCTTTGAGTTTTCAGCTTGAAAGGCAAAACTCTTTAAAGACTTGAATGCTAGCCAAAGATAGTCGTTTCCACCCATGCAGCACCACGGCAAAACGTTTGATCTCGGGCGGGCTCGAACCGCCGGCCTTCTGTGTGTTAGACAGATGTGATAACCACTACACCACGAGATCCGCGTCCTGAAACCTATGGGCGAACCCTTTGAGTTTTCAGCTTGAAAGGCAAAACTCTTTAAAGACTTGAATGCTAGCCAAAGATAGTCGTTTCCACCCATGCAGCACCACGGCAAAACGTTTGATCTCGGGCGGGCCCGAACCGCCGGCCTTCTGTGTGTTAGACAGATGTGATAACCACTACACCACGAGATCCGCGTCCTGAAACCTATGGGCGAACCCTTTGAGTTTTCAGCTTGAAAGGCAAAACTCTTTAAAGACTTGAATGCTAGCCAAAGATAGTCGTTTCCACCCATGCAGCACCACGGCAAAACGTTTGATCTCGGGCGGGCTCGAACCGCCGGCCTTCTGTGTGTTAGACAGATGTGATAACCACTACACCACGAGATCCGCGTCCTGAAACCTATGGGCGAACCCTTTGAGTTTTCAGCTTGAAAGGCAAAACTCTTTAAAGACTTGAATGCTAGCCAAAGATAGTCGTTTCCACCCATGCAGCACCACGGCAAAACGTTTGATCTCGGGCGGGCCCGAACCGCCGGCCTTCTGTGTGTTAGACAGATGTGATAACCACTACACCACGAGATCCGCGTCCTGAAACCTATGGGCGAACCCTTTGAGTTTTCAGCTTGAAAGGCAAAACTCTTTAAAGACTTGAATGCTAGCCAAAGATAGTCGTTTCCACCCATGCAGCACCACGGCAAAACGTTTGATCTCGGGCGGGCCCGAACCGCCGGCCTTCTGTGTGTTAGACAGATGTGATAACCACTACACCACGAGATCCGCGTCCTGAAACCTATGGGCGAACCCTTTGAGTTTTCAGCTTGAAAGGCAAAACTCTTTAAAGACTTGAATGCTAGCCAAAGATAGTCGTTTCCACCCATGCAGCACCACGGCAAAACGTTTGATCTCGGGCGGGCTCGAACCGCCGGCCTTCTGTGTGTTAGACAGATGTGATAACCACTACACCACGAGATCCGCGTCCTGAAACCTATGGGCGAACCTTGTGAGTTCTCAGCTTGAAAGGCAAGACTCTTTGAAGACTTGAATGCTAGCCAAAGATAGTCGTTTCCACCCATGCAGCACCACGGCAAAACGTTTGATCTCGGGCGGGCCCGAACCGCCGGCCTTCTGTGTGTTAGACAGATGTGATAACCACTACACCACGAGATCCGCGTCCTGAAACCTATGGGCGAACCCTTTGAGTTTTCAGCTTGAAAGGCAAAACTCTTTAAAGACTTGAATGCTAGCCAAAGATAGTCGTTTCCACCCATGCAGCACCACGGCAAAACGTTTGATCTCGGGCGGGCTCGAACCGCCGGCCTTCTGTGTGTTAGACAGATGTGATAACCACTACACCACGAGATCCGCGTCCTGAAACCTATGGGCGAACCCTTTGAGTTTTCAGCTTGAAAGGCAAGACTCTTTAAAGACTTGAATGCTAGCCAAAGATAGTCGTTTCCACCCATGCAGCACCACGGCAAAACGTTTGATCTCGGGCGGGCCCGAACCGCCGGCCTTCTGTGTGTTAGACAGATGTGATAACCACTACACCACGAGATCCGCGTCCTGAAACCTATGGGCGAACCCTTTGAGTTTTTAGCTTGAAAGGCAAAACTCTTTAAAGACTTGAATGCTAGCCAAAGATAGTCGTTTCCACCCATGCAGCACCACGGCAAAACGTTTGATCTCGGGCGGGCTCGAACCGCCGGCCTTCTGTGTGTTAGACAGATGTGATAACCACTACACCACGAGATCCGCGTCCTGAAACCTATGGGCGAACCCTTTGAGTTTTCAGCTTGAAAGGCAAAACTCTTTAAAGACTTGAATGCTAGCCAAAGATAGTCGTTTCCACCCATGCAGCACCACGGCAAAACGTTTGATCTCGGGCGGGCTCGAACCGCCGGCCTTCTGTGTGTTAGACAGATGTGATAACCACTACACCACGAGATCCGCGTCCTGAAACCTATGGGCGAACCCTTTGAGTTTTCAGCTTGAAAGGCAAAACTCTTTAAAGACTTGAATGCTAGCCAAAGATAGTCGTTTCCACCCATGCAGCACCACGGCAAAACGTTTGATCTCGGGCGGGCTCGAACCGCCGGCCTTCTGTGTGTTAGACAGATGTGATAACCACTACACCACGAGATCCGCGTCCTGAAACCTATGGGCGAACCCTTTGAGTTTTCAGCTTGAAAGGCAAGACTCTTTAAAGACTTGAATGCTAGCCAAAGATAGTCGTTTCCACCCATGCAGCACCACGGCAAAACGTTTGATCTCGGGCGGGCCCGAACCGCCGGCCTTCTGTGTGTTAGACAGATGTGATAACCACTACACCACGAGATCCGCGTCCTGAAACCTATGGGCGAACCCTTTGAGTTTTTAGCTTGAAAGGCAAAACTCTTTAAAGACTTGAATGCTAGCCAAAGATAGTCGTTTCCACCCATGCAGCACCACGGCAAAACGTTTGATCTCGGGCGGGCTCGAACCGCCGGCCTTCTGTGTGTTAGACAGATGTGATAACCACTACACCACGAGATCCGCGTCCTGAAACCTATGGGCGAACCCTTTGAGTTTTCAGCTTGAAAGGCAAAACTCTTTAAAGACTTGAATGCTAGCCAAAGATAGTCGTTTCCACCCATGCAGCACCACGGCAAAACGTTTGATCTCGGGCGGGCTCGAACCGCCGGCCTTCTGTGTGTTAGACAGATGTGATAACCACTACACCACGAGATCCGCGTCCTGAAACCTATGGGCGAACCCTTTGACTTTTCAGCTTGAAAGGCAAAACTCTTTAAAGACTTGAATGCTAGCCAAAGATAGTCGTTTCCACCCATGCAGCACCACGGCAAAACGTTTGATCTCGGGCGGGCTCGAACCGCCGGCCTTCTGTGTGTTAGACAGATGTGATAACCACTACACCACGAGATCCGCGTCCTGAAACTTGTGGGCGAACCCTTTGAGTTTTCAGCTTGAAAGGCGAAACTCTTCAAAGACTTGAATGCTAGCCAAAGATAGTCGTTTCCACCCATGCAGCACCACGGCAAAACGTTTGATCTCGGGCGGGCTCGAACCGCCGGCCTTCTGTGTGTTAGACAGATGTGATAACCATTACACCACGAGATCCGCGTCCTGCAACCTATGGGCGAACCCTTTGAGTTTTCAGCTTGAAAGGCAAAACTCTTTAAAGACTTGAATGCTAGCCAAAGGAAGTCGTTTCCACCCATGCAGCACCACGGCAAAACGTTTGATCTCGGGCGGGCTCGAACCGCCGGCCTTCTGTGTGTTAAACAGATGTGATAACCACTACACCACGAGATCCATGATATGTGTAAATTTATCTCAATCAGTTCACTCAGAAGCTTTTGCATCAAAAAGTATTAGTTTGACAGATTTTTGTACGGCGTTTCAGATTTTTAATTATTTATTTTACAAAATCTGGAGTATGAGTGGCTCTCTTATTCATATTCTTATTTCTGGATTCCCTTGCCGTCAAAGGGCCGCAAAGTAGTTGTTAGAAAGGAGGTAAGTTTTCCTGTATGGATATATTTTTGTAAGCAAGTATATTCACATAGGAAGCAGTTTGAATTTTTTTTGAAATCAAAGCGAGAACTTTCGGTTCAATCTAATACGTACTAACACACAAACGAACTTTGACTCTTTTATGTAAAGATATCACTTTGAAGGGTTTAGTTCGCCGTAAATCGTGATTACGTGTGCTCCAGATAGTTTACAGCATTTAAGTGAACATCCTGGTAGTAAGCAAGTATTCTCAAAATACTACCATTAGATCTGTATAGTTTACTGTCAGGGAGTCTAATCTCAGTTTTATTGAAACATTTTAAGCCAATTTCACCAAATCATAAATCATAGAACAACGCAATTTCGGCGAATGGGATAAAGGATTAGAGGGCAGCGTCATTCAAAGTTTATACGCCCAACGCGGACATAAATGGGTGTAAGTGAAATCACGAATCGTTAAACGACCACTTTCTCCTAGAGCGCAACCATTGTAGACTGATCCGACCTGATCCCTTCCCTTTGGAGGATGATCTCAACTAATATTCAATATTTGTTTATGGCGATTATTGCTATTCATGGATTTGCATCAGCTACCTCAACTTGTGAGTTTTTTCTGAAGATGTTAAATATTGACCGAACGAATCAAATGTCAACAAGTTCAGTGAATCGATGTTTTGAACGTTTTACAAGAAGAGATATAGACAATTATCCTCCGTTAGCTGAGTATCAAATGGAATCTCTCACAGCTTGTGCTGATTATTGCATCATGGCGGCAGGAAATGGTAAACAAAAGGTAGGCTTCTGAATCACTACGTTTGTAATTATCATTTGTTATTTATTGTTTGTTATTTTAATTTTTCTTTCACCTATAGTTCATTTGAGTACAGGAACCTCTCTGCCGCTCCTTCACCTATAACATCGCTCAAAGGACATGTCGACTTTATGATCATGATGGAATGAAGGTAATACGATGCACCAAATAATTTTTTGATATTCGTGCGTAGATAATCAGTTATTGTTGCAGGTTCCCGCTATCCTCTACCCTGCAATTGGCACTGATTTCTATAAGCGGAGTGAGGAAAAGACATGCAAAAGTGAGAGATAGATGTCTAAGAAATCCACCCACCCATACTTCTTACAGGCACAGCAGCATTTGATGTTAACAATCGTAACTTTGTCAGACTGGGATCATTTGAGGAAAAAGTGTATGTGACAGAAAAGGTAGTCTGATAGTTGCGTGTAAGGACGAAACTATTTAGTAAATTTTAGAGTGTCACCGCTACTGCCGAGATCGAATCCTCTAGCGAAAACTACAGAGGCTTCGATATTCCAAACGATGTGTAAGTAAGCTACGAATCTGTTAGGTTGATCCATAAGCTCTGCGCTAAAACTATTGAAAAATGCTAAGTATTTGTATTTTTGATGAATTTGTCCAACCCAACTTGACTTAGAAAAGGAAAATCTGCGCTTTTGATAGCACTCAAAGCAAAAATCCGTTCTGGCATACCACGGCGTACAAGCTGAAGAGAAATAATAAGATAGTGATTTTCTAATTTTCTGTCTTTAAAAGTGCTAGAAGGTTCAAAAAATCTCTTTCCATTTTTGATATGATTTTACGACCTACTCTCTTCAATTGCGAGAAATTCGTGGTGACAGGATGTTCCCATCAATAGTTATGAGTTTGACTTCTTCAACTCAACACTTCGACGTGTTTCGAATAAAATTTCTAATGCATAGCTGAATAAAGCACTTGCTATTCTGAAACATTGTTCGAAGTATTCTTTGCGATTTTTTGAGGAATTTTCAACAATTTTTGACACTTATGGTCAACCTAATATATAAGTATATATTGTCGAACATCGTTATTATTGACACTGAAAAGCATTCGCTCACCCCACTGCTCAAAACTTTTTGCTGCAAAAAATCTCTGCAAAATCGCGTCTTCATCACAGACCCTTCAGATGATCTGAGCAAAAAATTTCCTCCTAAAGTACAATGTTGTTCATGAGTTCCTCTTTTATCCAGTAGCGTTTAAAGTCGCTTGCGCCGGTACAGTTCTGGCACAGGGCCCAGTAAAATCAAATAAGCAGCGCCCAGAGATGTAGCAACTTCTTAGTTCCCGCTTGATGACATTTCGTTTCCAAAGCGATAGGAACCAAATCTGAAAGGAGATGCTTTTGTCCGCTAAAACAATTGACGCAACAAAATTGTTGCGACCTCTTCAGCCGAACATTCAAATTCCGCGAGGTGCACATCTTCAAGTTTTTTTTCTACTTTTTTCAACTTTTGATTGCTGTGACGACAAAAAGAAGCGCTTGAAGCGCTATCCAGAAAAAATGAAGAAGTATAGAGTGAAAAAACCGAAAAGATAATTCTGCTCTGCAGCTGCACATTCCTGAATCAATCCAACAGTAAATGTGGTTCCAGGCAGGCATGTACATATGTATGATTTAGACTTATTTCAATATTGTTTAGAGCTGATGTACTCGGTGATAACGACAAGGTAATTCACAAAACACCCGAGCATATGGCAAGATCTGGCAAAGGTTAGCAAGTCACTGTCGAAGCTGCACTTTCTGAATAAGCATAACAAATTTAATAGCTAGATCAAAAAAATTTAGAGATCTGCCTAACTTCGAGTGCATACTATGTTGTCATTGGCAATGAAATTGTCAGGCCTATTTCGAACGGAGGAGAAGTGAAAGTGAGGCTTAACAATTCTTGTTACCTGCACTAAAAAAATGATCTACATGGTCCCGTAAATTTTAGGTATACAATGACGTCGATCAAGGACATTGTGCTAGTTTCTGTAGCAATAATCAGGTTCAACGTTCAATATATGGCTAGTGAATGCTGTTGCTAACATCTGTGCCCTAGGGTCCCGACCGTGAAGAGCTTACGTGCAATTCCTTAAACTATTTCCCAATTTCTCGAAAATGTGAGCTGTACAGTATCCTTGCCGAGCCGCATGGTCCTGGAAGTTTGGTCGAGAATCAAGATGTAATTTATGCTGAGAAGTTCTGCTTGCCAGGTAAAGCTAAAAAAACTTTTGCCGTTGACACAGATCTTGCAATTCTTCAGAGGTGAAACAAAACTGCCAAAACGATGAGATCTTCATTCTTCATGTGCAGAAAAGCTTGTCGGGAATCCCCATTAACCAAGAACCTTCAGACAGCATCACATCATGCCTACGATCCTGTCTTAACACTCATTCCTGCAAAGTTCGTTTCTAACATTTAATTGCTAAATCTAATTGGAACAATTTCAGACAGCTGTCTTCGACTCCATGAAACAGCAATGCCACTCGTACAAGGAGGGCATCTCAAGCTCTGAAGAATCTATTGTTGAGACGCCACCAGGTTTCGTGATGATTGAAAATGGATGTGCTGGTTCTAAGGAAACAGGGAGAAGTCATGCCCATCACGCAAAAATCTCGAAGGTAGATTTTATAAACTATTATTCATTATTCTTATTCATAAATCTAGTAAGATTCGTAGTTGAATATGCGTAGAAGTTGAGTCATTAAGTTGTTTGCAGACCCTATCCTTTCAAAGAGCAAAAAAGGAAGTGAGGGGGGGGGGGAGTACAAGGGTGACGTATAGCTGAATTTTTAGGTACCATACTGGCATCCTTTTACCCACTTCTCTCTGCTTTTGAGCTCGATAATAATTTTTTATGCACCATTACACATATTTAAGGATTCCTCTAAGAACATGTTCAAAGCTAACAAAAATGTGCAAACAAGATTTTCTGCTCTATGCTGGAAGTCTTGAAACTTCAAATAAAAACAATAGTTTGAAGCTGAGACTCATTCATACCCGAAATGATTGTATGTCTGGAAATGGAGGACTGGTTCTGCTAGAACCATGACGTAAACAGCAATTTACTTCAAAACTTCCAAGTAATCAAACAAGTCATCGAATATCATTTGATCTACATTCACACAACAATTGCCCTTTAAGATCTAAAACCTTACTTAAAATCTATTCAATGAAAAGAATGTTCTCCATTCTACAAATTAGGAGGAGTCGTCATCGGAATGGTCGGAGTGTAATTTCCGTGTCAATGGAGTAAGAGTAAAGGTAAGGACAAAGTCTTATCTCTAGCAGCTACTATCAAATATTTCAATTTGAGGTCCGAACTACTGAAGAGGGCAAACTGGAAACGACGGCTTGCTAATTACCAATTCAGAAAAATGAGCGGATAATTTGTCGAGTGATACGCGTAATAAATTTCTAGGTTGTTTCTAATAAAGTTGTTTGAAATTGTAGAGATACCCAAATCTCTGAGCATCCCCAACCTCAGTAGTATTGAGTGAGATGAACCAAAAATTCCGTTTACACGCTACCTTAATTGAGTAGCCGCAAAAAAGTCCGTAGAATACTTGAGGTGAAAGAAGGATACGATAGGGAACTGACGATGAAAATCGGCCAGTCGAAAAAGCGCTTATAATCTTTGAAGAAACATTTGGTAACATAAATCAGTTCCGATAAGTAAATGAAAATTTTTGAATCCTCAATTAAATACCAGCTGGCGCGGAAGACTTCTTGATCTCTGCCAGTCATGTATTATGGTATTAGTTGGCACATCCCCTCCCCCCCCCCCCCCTTCCGTCTCCATTATGTTTCCGTGATCAGCATGCTCACCTATCCCCCTGTGCCAACTCCCAGCCCCGTAGTCAAGCGTGGCAAAAAAAACGGTAAAATTGACCTCGATCAATAAAGAAACAGTGTATGTGTGCAAAGTTCGGTCCCGATCGGTCAAAAATGGAACTCTCTATTCGAAGTATACGAATATACATACGGACAGACAGACAAATGGACTTCTAGCTCTATTATAAGATTCGTGGGCTTAAAAGGCTGAGCTTCGATTTCTTTTACACTATGAGCGTGAACGGTTAAAATGGGACACTTAGGAAGTAATGTAGGTTTTTCAAGAAAGAGAAGTGATTGAACTTTCCAATCTTAAGAGATTTAAACCCCATTTGATAGATCTCTTTAAGCTTAATCCAACCATGTGCAGTTATCTCGATTTCAATTTATCTTCGGAAAATATAGGGTGAAACTGCTTTTTTGGTTTTTTGCGCCAAAAATTGCAAGTTTTCATTTTTTGCTTCAATATCTAGGAATAGAAAGAATTGATATGCATCTATAAACAATTTCGAATGACAAGTCACTTGCTTTATGACTTTGCGGTATAGCAGCGAAATTACGAGATGCTCAGTAGAGTTGGCGTGTTGCCAGAGTAATAGCCGGATTTGTTTGTGTAAGCGCCTTTTATCTCATCTCTAGGTACGGGCCATATAAAGTGACCTAGTTGCATGTTTTGGTCCAGCACTTAGCCGAGAATGCTTGTTGTTGATCGAAAAAAGAAATCTCGAAATGTAGTAAAAATCAAGCTGTCCCATATTTTTCCGTTCAGCCTAGCTTACATTTACCGTTTCAACCATGCTAATTGTGTGCTGTTAGTGAATATGATAATAGTTGGCTGTTTATCTCATTATTGTATCACTCTCAGATTATCCTCACTACTACCTTTGTGTCTCCTTGGTCCGCAGGCAGCTGAAATCCATGAACTTTTATAAAAGCAGCAGCACAAACTCTCTAGGCAATATTTGATTGAGAGCAGCGTCTCTTCGTCCTGATCCCACATTACTGGTGATGATCGCTTGCTGTTCAAATGCGGATGAGGGCCCTGATATCTAGTTCCCATTTGAGAAAATTAAAGATTTTATCGGACTTCACAAAACGAAGTGACCAGTTTTAAAATCCCTATCCTTAAGCAAGATAATGACTCTCAACTTTTAATTGTACCAGCAGTGGTTACCTTCTTTCTCTAGTTTGAGCAATCGTTGACAAGCATGCATTATGATACTCGAATTTTGTGTAAGTGGTGCTCGCCTCAAAGGCAGTGTCCAGGCAAATTTGGGCATACGAGTTTTCTGCCTGAAAACTGTCGAGGAGGCTCTAGCTAAGGCAGTGCCCAAACCACAGCGCGAATAATTCATTCAAGGCTGAGAAATCCATCCACAAACACTCCGATGCTGTGCCGTGACCGTAACACTTAGGATTGGTCCCAGCGCGAACATAGTGTTAAAGTGAGCGAAGTCGTTTTTGGGTTACGGTCACGGCACAGGCGCGGGGTTTTCGGGGTCGGATTTCTCAGCCATGATTGAACAATTTGCGCTGTCCTTTGGGCAGTGCCTTAGGACCCCCACATTATTTTCCAGGCAAATAAGCCATGTGACCGGATTTCCCTGGACACTGCCTTTAACTAAATTTTTCAACACGTTTGCTAGCTTCACTATGAAGAAATGGTCTTCGTTACTTTGTTTTAGGTTGCACAAACGCGAATGCACTAATGTGCACTAATGCTTCTTAAAAGCACAGTCTAAAATGATTGGTGAAATTTGGCTTGTATGATAAAAGGACCTCCAACTAAATAACCCATGTCGCTGCAAAAGATGAATTCAAAGAGAAGGCCTTATAAAAGTCCAAAATTGATATTTAAGCTGATAAAAATAAAGAAGGATTTCAAAGTTTACCTTAAATAAAGATCCCTTTCTACACTACAGTTCTGGATAGAGTCAATCTAAATAAAGTTTTGAACAACCGAACCGTCAAAGCCCAAAATGTTGGAGGTAGCTGTGCATCCAGAACGTTCAGAGTTACTTTCAAATATAACATTCCGATCTCTACACGTATTTTTCAATATAACAAGTTTCTAAATACAATCACATATCTTAATATTGCAAATATTCCTTGTATTTATGATGAATACCAAACTTATGTATTTAGCCATCACAAACACACTGTTGCAGGAAATATCACTATTTTTAACTTTTAAGCTTGACATTTGTGAAATCCTTAAAAAAGGTGCAAATTCCGACCCCTAATTAGATTTACTAAGCAAAAAATCAAAAACATTTGCTTAGATGCACTTCAAGAATTCATTAACGAATTAGAAAAAATATCATTGAACAATCACACTGTTGAGAAAATCTGCAAAATAGTCTACCATAACCTTGGAAAAATTGAGTCTAGATCATTCTAATGTACTTATAATAACAATCAGTTAGGATGTATAAGAGAAAATCAACTATATACATAATTTGTTTGTAATCTGCCCTCTAGACAAGGCTAGTTCCAATCACGGAACCCTCTGCAAAAGACTATATTTGAAAATGATATTGGAAGAAATGGGTTTAACTACACGTAATACAGTCAATTGCATATGTGAGAAGGTTGAACGTGTCAAGATAGAAGACATCATTAACAGACATCTTACCTTTAGTAATAATATGCACATTAAAACAAAAGAAAGTGATATTTCTGCCTAGTGTTTATCCAAATTACATGAAAATCCTGTAAAATTCAGGTTTATTACTGGTGCATATGACAGCAGTACCCAACCTATGTCACTTCAGTTGTTACACCTCCTCAAGTTGATCGGTATTATTTCAGAAACTATGCAAACACGGTTTTTGAGAATAAAAAATGCTTACAAATTTAACTATAAGGTTGTACCGAAAGTTCACCATTTTCAAAAATTCATAACTTCTGCTTTTTCAATAGACTTGCGTGTTTTCATTTTTGTTCAAAAGAGCAAATCATTCTCTTGATAGCGGTATCTTAGCGGCATTCCATTGAGCATAAACTGCATACATATAAGCGGTAGAAGAAAATTACTCAAATTTTGAATTTTCTGTGTAGGGTCGTAAAAAATCTGAAAAATGCAGTAAAAATCGAAGCAGTCAGGATTATAGGTTCTTGCACCAGCTCTTTTCAACTACGCAAAGTTTTCGCTGATTGAGCGTCTCTATGAGAAGAGTTATGATTTTCTAGCAAGCATTACAAAAGGTCGAATTTGATTTATTTTGGCATTTTTCAGGAGAATTCATAACTTTTCGTAGACACGCTCAATTAGCGCAAACTTTGCATAGTTAGAAAGATCTGATGCAGGAACCTATAATCTGACTGCTTCGATTTTTACTGCAG